CCATCATGCATCATGTTCTGGAAATAAATCGTGAGACTTTTTGCCTAGATCTCAGGAGAGGTCACGGAAACCTTTCCAATACAAGTTAAACATTATAATAATTAGATATTACATATAATTTGGTAGAAAAACAGTGTTTTTACGTTTTATTGGTGCAAAGATGAGTAGTGGTGATATTTATCTTGTACAACATTTGCAACTGCTGTTTATCACTTAATTAGAAGCACCACAAATTAAAATGATGTCATGTTATAGGGACTACTGAACAGACATTTTGAAGATTTTAAAATGCAAAGTATTTAAAATTTAAATAAAGTTATGTAAACACTTGCATTTTTACAACACTGTGTCCCATCAGGTAATGAAAAGTTCGACTTCATCCTCACTTGAACACTTGGGCCAAATACAGGAAATACGTCATATAAGTGGTCAAGTGCAAAGACCGCAAGTGTGGGTATTTGGACAAGGCAACTCTCCCTCTTTTTCGGAATAAACTTCAAAATTGTATTTGTTTGGTATTTATGTTCTTCAAGCAATTAAAAAAAAAAAAAAACTTCAAAATTGTGGAAGAAACGGGTTACCGCCATCTGCGTCAGTGATGCAGTAACTGCTGCCCCCTGCTGTCTGCCTCGTGTCAGCGACGATTCATCTCTTCCAAGATCTCTCTCTCTCTCTCTCTTATAACAAGTGCTAATGAAATCAAAAGTGAAAGGACGTCAAGAACTGCGATTACTTTATGGCCTGTTTTGGTTGCATGCTGGATCAAATTTGAGACATGTAAATAGGTCTACAAAATTGTAAGTACTGACAGTAAAAATTGTAAGTGCTCGCCATCCGACTGCAGACAAGTTTGTGCTACTTTTCTTGTTTATACATATCCGGTATTTTGTACCAAAACTGCGTATGATCTGAAAGTAACAGCCTTTGCTATGTTTTACCCATTTCACTGGGAATGGGCCTATAGCAACACTGCACACTTTTTGTTAGGAGCCATATCAGATTGTACATTGTCAATAATATGTAATGGTCATTATTTATCAGTTTGTAAACCTGAAAGTGAAAACTGAATTTTCTTCTCTCAGTGAGTGAGTTGAATCCACTGAGAAGGAAAAAAACAGGAGCCATTTTAAATACTTCTATAACTGTCTATAAACTTTGGAATATAGATGCATAACAAAAAAATATATAATATTTTGGCCAGTTCTGTATTAATCACTAAGAAGAAGTTATCGAAGTTCCAGTAACCAATGGACAAAGCAGAAGGGTTAAAAGATCGAGAGTTTTGTCCAAAAAGGTATGTTACTGATGGCAGCAAATTAAACATCACAATGACATACAAACACATAAAAAAAAAAAAAAAGCTAAACAGCATCAAATTTATACTGTTATTTACTGTGTTAAGATCAAGAAAGCGATCAAGATCAGTCTCTTCGGAGTCCACCTTCCTGTCTATGAAAAGCAACAAATCTATTGTTGATCCGCCAAATTTAAAAGATGGCAGAATGTCACCTGAAAGCAGGTAAGATGTGCATCAATCCAGCAATCAAACAGCCACCATCGTACAAATGAAATGTGTAATTAATGATTGTCAATATTAGTTCTTCTGTTCACTAGTCATTTTTCAATAATCATTTGTACTTGTGTAACTGCTTTCATATTTCGGATTTAATAGTGACAGACTAAACACCATAAGATCAGGAATAAGATCAAGATCAGTCTCTACAGCACCCAGCTATCTGACTATGAAAAGCAATAAGTCTATTGTTGATCCACCCAACTTAAAAGATGACACAGTATCACCTGGAGAGAGCTCAAACTCTTTTATAACCAGCATGCTGTCCATCAGAAATAACTGGTCTAGAGATACATCTCATATGACCACTTTAACAACTTCCACCAGCTCCACGCTTGTGACAATGCATACTGAATAACAAAATGAATGAAAATAATATAACTAATTATTAACTAATTATTATTGTTGTTTCATCAGCTTTGAATCTGAACATGATGGTTCAGCTGTTTTTGAGAAATTCAAATCAAACATGCAAGAAAAATTTCAGTGTTTGCATGAAGGAACAGCAAATCAGGGAACTTTGACAGTCCTCAATGACATCTACACAAAAGTCTACATCACAGAGGATGGAGGTGGAGAAGTCAATAATGAACATGAGATCAGACAAATTGAAATATTTAGGAGAGCAAGAACAGAAGATACACCAGTCAATCTGAATGACATCTTCAAACCCTTACCTGGACAAGACAAACCCATCAGAACTGTTCTGACTAAAGGAGTAGCTGGCATTGGAAAAACAGTCTCTGTGCAGAAGTTCATTCTGGACTGGGCTGAAGGGAAAGCAAATCAAGACGCCCACCTCATATTACCACTTCCTTTCAGAGAGCTCAATTTTATGAAGAATCAAAGTCTCAGTCTCCTGGGACTTTTTAATACATTTTTCATGGGAACAAAGGAATTGGAAATAAACAGTGATCAATATAAAGTTTACATTATTTTGGATGGTTTGGATGAGTGTCGTCTGTCTCTGGATTTTCAGAACAGCATGAGGTTGTGTGATGTGACTGAATCTGCTTCAGTAGACGTGCTGCTGACAAACCTCATTGTGGGGAATCTGCTTCCCTCTGCTCTCATCTGGATCACCTCCAGACCAGCAGCAGCTGATCTCGTCCCCTCTGAGTGTGTCCATCGAGTGACAGAGGTACGAGGCTTCAATGATCCACAGAAGGAGGAATACTTCAGGAAGAGAATCAGTGATCAGAGTCTGGCCAACAGGATCATCTCACACCTGAAGTCATCAAGGAGCCTCTACATCATGTGCCACATCCCAGTCTTCTGCTGGATCTCAGCCACTGTTCTGGAGAAGATGTTGAGGAAATCATGGAAAGGAGATATTCCCAAGACTCTCACTGAAATGTACACACACTTCCTGATCATTCAGACCAACATCAAACATGAGAAGGACTATGAGAAGAACGTGACAGATGAAGAAATGATCCTCAAACTGGGGAAACTGGCTTTTCAGCAGCTTGTGAACGGCAACCTGATCTTCTATGAGGAAGACCTGAGAGAGTGTGGCATTGATGTGACAGAAGCAGCAGTGTACTCAGGATTGTGCACTCAGATCTTCAGAGAGGAGTTTGGCTTG